CATTGAATTTATTCGCGCGTTTGCGGAAGAAGATGAGGTAGGCTCGTCAGTTGTTTTGAAGAAAATTTATAAATACTTGGACTAATTATCTGAGATGCGGTTAAATGTTTGTGACAAAAATCACATTTGATTATTAAATGACAAAACAGGTTTTGTCATACACAATATATATAATATATACAATATAATGAATAGAGGCAGCAGTCTTTTGACATGGATGTTTCCTAGTAAGGACTTACATGATAAGTGGGTAAATAAACACTATATAACGTGGTAAGAAGTTTGTTAATATAGATTTTAACACTGCAGATAATATCCTGGCTTAAGACAACAAATGGCACAAGTTAAATGATACCCCGAAGTGTTCAAATAGGAAATAAGTGTGGTAACATTCGTAATACTAAGGAAAAGGCTGGTAGATTAAATAAGAAAAACGCGGATTAAAGAAGTGTTTGACTTTTCTTTGCATTAGGTGGCTATGACAGGAACAGAGACTGTACATGCTTCATTTGCTTACAGAAGTCTCGAACGAATTCATCAATGGCAAAATCCTACATTGTCTTTAGTAGTGTGAACGAAGGAAACGAGGTAAGTTAGCATGGGTATTCTTAAACGCATTGTTAGAGTTAGTTGGGTCGTTCAGATAACCTAGAATAAATCTTCCAACACCCTGCCCTTATTATCTGCAAAATCATACTGGAATATGCCCCCGTATCTTTATGGAAATTTTTCATTAGCTTAGATCGATGTCCTTTGCTCCACAGCAGCACGTGAAATTGATCTGCACATGGAGGCGACGAGGGTGCTTGTTATCCACACAAACAGAGAACAGCTTAAAGCTGGTAAACTTCATTTACAATTTTACAGCGAATAACATCTTACTGACTGATTCAGAGACGGTTTTGAGCATATCTGAAGACTGATCATCTTTGAACTCTGAATTCTTTAACATTTTTCTCTTCGAAGCTGAGTTAGTGACTAGTTTAGATGAGAGATTCCTAACATTTTCCAAACATTCCCATTTATTTGGTTGTTTCTGAACGATTTTATGATATAAAAACTAAATAATGGGGTTAGTTAATTTAGATAAATCAATATGCTAGAGTTTGGAGAATAATTCACGCTATAAAACACCAAGGCTGGAGATCTTATACGTCCTGCTTCCTGGTAAATACAGAATTGTTAAGGGACAAGGATATCTAAGGTTTCTTTTCACTCATGGTTTTAAGACAACTCTGTTTTGTAATACGGATGCACCTAAGGCCATTCGAATTCTGTGGACACTTCGAAGGGCTCTGTACGCTTTGATGATTATACTGTACTTTACTAAACATCAGACTTCATATAGAATACTGTACTCAAGATGCTGGTGCACGCCTTAAGTAGACACAGGTAAAATGTGTTGGCGCCAAGTTGTTGAGTGTCATATGTACGAAGAAATTACTCTTATTATTGTTTCGAAGCAGGAGACTTAATTTTAGCTCATCTTATGTTAAAAGGTGATTTGTTCATTGAATTTTCGTGCAATAAAAGATATTCTTCTCATATTATCACTAAGGAGACTCAAAAAGCGATTGAACAAAACACAGGTGGAATTTAGATTATCACAAAGTGAGGTTGACGATTGGAACTTCTTACCCTATCAGATGGTATGGTAAACGCTCTTAGGAATGAATTGGATATCCAGAGGGGTAAATATTTAAATTATTAACAAAACTCAGCGAGGTGCAACTATTATCTATAATTTAAATCGGAACCTGTTGTTTAGCACACCCTCTGGGTTTTGGCGCGTACCAGTCTGATTTAATATGGGTTCGAAAGATTGGAGTCCTCGAGGCAGCAGTTGCTTGGCCGGGAAAGTACTAATCGAAGACTTACCCAAACGGTCTATTTCTAACCATGAAATCGAAAAGTGGTTAAAGAAGTACGGAAATATATCAGGTGAGCGGAGTTACTGAAAACTGCATATGGTAGACTCATCTATAGATAACTGGGTCTCATTCTACTAAGATTGCCAGTTCATTGGCCAATTTAATTTAACAGACATGTTTACATTACTCATTTGATCAATATCTATTTAAAATATCATTGGAGTATTAGAAGTTTATTTTGTGTACGATTAAAATTAAAAGGACGATTAAAATACGTGCAGAATTTAGATTCTCTCACAGAGTGGTCAACGATTGGAACTCCTTACCTGATTCACTAGTATCAGCTCCACTGGTGAACGCTTTCAAAGAGAAGTTAGATCTCTGCAGAGATATACTTTGCAAGGGTTAACACAGGCCACTGTCTGTCTGTCTGGATTCAACTTAGAACTTGGCACCGAAGTGCAGCACTTCGAGTTGCCAAGTTCCAAATAGCCCACAAAGGTAGACAAGATCAGCGAAGAGAATCAATAGAGTTTGACAAGTATAAGAGTGAAACAGAATGGGTAATGGTAGAAAGGAATATGAAAGATTACAGAGACTGAATACATCTGCGCCATTGACAACGATTTTGAGCCATGTCACCTATTGTCTCCAGCCATTGATTCCTAGAGTCCCGAGGGCCCCAACCCGGGTGTCTGCATCTCCCTACCTGACTCAGTTTAACTGTCAAGGATTTCATGGATTGATGCCATGTTTTTGTTTGGCCACCACTGGCTCTTTTCCAACCTGAACCTATATCAGCTAGCAATGCCCGTCGGGGGAGGCGATGGTTAGGCATGCGCAGCACGTGACCTAGCCATCTCAGTCTATGTAACTTTATAGCCTCGTCGATTGATTTTCCCTCTTTGCCCAACACTCTACGCCTAACGTCAACATTACTTACCTTGTTAAACCACCTAACGTGAGACAGAGATCGCAGACATCTATGATCGAAAGCAGTCAACCTTTTCATGTCTTCAACTCGTATTGGCCATGTTTCAGAGCCATAGAGAAGGACGGAGCGAACTGATGAGCAGTACACACGTCCCTTGGTTGATAGCCGGATGTCACGCCTACGCCAGAGATGGTGTAAGTCAGCGAAAGCAGCTCGAGCTTTTCGGATCCGTGCTGAGATTTCATCGCCAATCAGTCCGTTGGTGCTAATACAACTTCCCAAATAGGTGAAGTGGTCAACATGTTCTATCACTTCACTCCCTATCACTAAGTTAGGAGTTGACGTAGTCCAGTCCTGTAGCAGCATCTTACATTTTGCAGGGGCGAATCGCATGCCAAACATACGAAGATTGCTGCTCAAGGTGTTCAGAAGACTCTGCATTTTGTCAGCATCCTCCCCTAACAGGACTATGTCATCTGCATATTCTAAGTCCATAAGACTATTCCCTGGTAACAAGTCGATTCCTAAGTCGTTACGTTCAGTTAAGGATACTTCCATCAGCATATCTATGATGAAGTTAAACAGAAATGGGGAAAGTGGACATCCCTGTCGGACACCACTGGTTGTTACCAATTCAGATGACAATTCCCCATAAGCCCTTACACGACTACGTGAGTTTGAATAGAGTGCCTTGATTAGTGCAATGTACTTTCTTGGCACTCCCTTCACAGTCAGACATTGCCATAGTACCTTTCGATCCACGGAGTCGAAGGCCGCCTTCAAGTCAAGAAATATGACAATTGTTGGACGCCGAAAAGTGTGTCTATGTTCTAGAATCTGTCGAAGAGTGAAGATATGATCTATGCACCCTCTACCTGGTCTAAAGCCTGCTTGATTTTCCCTTGTCTGTTCCTCCCGAGTTCTGCTTAGTCTATGCATGATTACTGAGCCTAGGATTTTAGAGACTATGTTCGTTAGGCTGATCCCCCTATGATTATCACACGAGGACTTGTTTCCCTTCTTGAATATCGGTATAATAAGTGACTTACCCCAGTCTGATGGCAGTGTCTCTGATTCCCAGACTTTGCCTAGTACCTCAGTTAATCTACAAACTAGTATGTCACCCCCATATTTAAACACCTCCGGAATAATTCCGTCGGGTCCTGCCGCTTTGCCTCGTTTCAAATTACTGATAGCTTTTGTGACCTCACTTACAGACGGCGGACCAGTGTCTATATCCCATTCGGGTGTGTGCTGGATGTCGGGGAGGTTCAGTGTGGCTGTAGGCAAGTTAAATTGTCCCTCAAAGTGTTCTTTCCAGCGTTCAAGGCGTCTATCCTGAGAGCTAATTAAGGAGCCATTTTTCTCAGAAATAGTCTCACTTATGATTTGCCTTCTCCCACCCGTTTCCCTGATGAGTCTAAAGTGTTGCCTATCGCCGATGCTTTTTCCATCCCAGGCCACAAGAGCCTTCTATCCTTATCATCTGAATCTGTGGCTCATGTGAACATATACAGTGTCACACAGAAAGCCCGTTGCGTTAGCTTATGAAAATGGCCTTGCTACGACTAGTATTCACAGTTCGACCAATTTAAACTTTAAGCTCCACTAACTAGCACTGGAGCGCGACCTCAACAACTACCTTAAATTGCTCACTGAGCAAGTTAGCGAAGTCTGGCAAATAAATTATGCTCATCGAAGTGCTATGTCATTAAATGGGATATCTAACAAGTTTCAACTTAGGTTTGGGGAAGACTAAGTTACGCTTCAGGACGAGTTGGGTTAGGTTAATTTGTTAAAGGTGGCAGGGTTGACCCGAGTTAGATCAGGGTTAGTTTACTGATATTTTCACGTAGGGGTTAGGTTCAGGAAAGATTAGGGTTATTGTTAGGATTAGAAGATCTGAATAATTACATGCATACAATTTGGTTCAAATAATCTGTTGATATAAAAATGGAACTTGTGCACTGCGGAAGAGTATAATTCCATTGTGGGTAAAATTTATTTTTATGAAGTCTCAAAGTGTTATACGGTAATATTTACTGATGACGTTTCGAGCACAGTTTATTGCACAATGAATGTTACTGCATAACACTGAGACTTTATCAAAATAAATTTTACCCATAATGGAATTATACTCTGCTGATACTCCAACCTAAAACTGAGAGCTATTTTTATCACATGTGAGAGGAAGGTATCTTCTGTAACACTTTTCTACAGACTTTATGTATAATTTCATAAATATGTGTATTCCATACACAAAAATGTCTCCTTGTGATTGGTGCGTTCGATGTCATCCTCTCAGCGGTAGTTAGTGGTGCTCAAAGCTTGACTGCGCCTCCATTTCGGTCGAAGTGTGTGGAAAAACTGGGGAAGAGGAACTGCGCTCACCGATTAAGAATGCCGTTCTACAGCCCACTCAATACGAAATAACATACGAAATTTGCCGGGTAGTTAGGAGTTAACAGTATGACACCAGTATGGTTCGGTACGAACATGTAAATTCAAGTATTTCTTGATTAATATTTCTCATTGCTAGAGTTACTTCACATCTGCTTACGGCATAACCACAGCCTGAAATGGAAGCAGAAATCGGCCCCACAGTTGTTAAAGAAGTTTTGAAGGTTGCCACTAGCCTGAATTTGTGGATTCGGAAGGTGACAGGTAGATTGCTGATCAAGATCTCTGTATATACATTATCTAAGACAAAGACTCAGTCCCAATTTCTGTCTGAGGAGTCATTCAGTTCCTAACTGTCGGATGGGTCCTTAAAAATAGTACAATAATATTGAATTTCAGTAGTCAATAGGTTTTATACAGGGAGTGCTGAAAATGTATACCATGCTGATAAAGGTATTCTACTCGGACTGTCGCAATGGAGCTGTTGGGATTTAACACCTGTAATAACCGCAACCAGTGTTCTTTAGAGACGCTCACTACTTCTACTTAGTCTCAAAGTACTGATGTCTCCTGCTGATTATAACTTTGTTTTCTACCAAGAAAGTCTCGATACGGACGACGTAGATGCTCTAGTGTTCTTGCGCAAGGATGCAAAAGTTTGCAATACGCCTTATCCTTGTTTGAATATAAAGCAATTTCACAGAACTGGTGTGCACCGACTCCTAAATTGCGCATGGTGAGCGAAACGGTTGGGTATACTGGTGTCTCCATTTCTTTGGCAATCTGGATCCGAGGCATTGCTGATGAAGCCTCGATACACATACAAATGAACTTTTTAGCATTTCATATTGGTGTTACAAACATCTCACCATAACTTCGGTGTCATTATTGGAGACATCATGGTATTGGATCATTCAGTAAAGTGCCTTGTGTGTATTCTCATTGACCTTGTGTTGACTGATTAATTTTTGGATGGTGCTGCCATTGTCAGGCTACTCGTGATTCCATTCTTTTTTCTGCTTATGGGCCATCAGTAATCTTATGTTTTGCTTCTCATTCACATTTTAGAAATTGTAGTGTACTCGCGCTGCTTAGTGGTCCAGTTTGACTCCGACATTGAGGCAGCTGGCGCTGTTCAGTGTGAAAATGGGGCGTTACTGTTCGGTACAAAAGTTTCTGTGAAACACATGGAAGCTAGCGACTTAAAGGCTCTACGCCGAGCCGGACCACCAATCGATCGGTTTCCTTCTCATTCTCAACGACATTCGGGATCCACTTCAGATCGTGATCGTGACAAGGAAAGAGGTCGTATTTCTTCACGTCGTGATCAATTCCGTGATAGGAGTAGAACTCCAGATACCAAGCGTCCCCGTGATGTCTCACCTCGTCGACATTCAAGATCACCAGTGTGAGTTTAGACTTCTAAAACTTGCATAATAATAACTGTTTTCGTATTAGTTGTTGTATGTAGCACATGTAGTGAAGGCCTGTTTGACTTTCAGCAACTTGCGCAACTAGTATGCATACATGTTTAATTTCTGTCGATGGCGATTGGGTGATGAATTAACAGAAAACGGATGTGTGGCGGTTTGGGAATGTACACATGGAACAAAACATCAGAACTGTAATGCTTATCATACTTGACAGACCTTAGCGTGAGGGAGTTGTTAAATAAATACCAGCGATGTGAAAATTTGATAAGAAGTGAAAATATGCTTGATCTGTGTTCAAGGATTTTTAACTTTCATCATTGGTTTTCGGTATCTACTACATAGCAGCTTATCCTCTTAATGTTCTGTACCTAAGTCCATTCCTATTAGATGTGTGCAAAAGGTGAACGATTCTCACAACAGGACAGTCAATTTCTTGTAGTGCTAATCGTGACTTAAGTAGAATCCAAGTGAACAGTTGCCTCTTGTTTTAAAGTGCCAGAATCCGTAGAGTTCCTAATATCGGAAGAAAGTTGCTGCCAAATGCTGACCACTATAATAAGTCGGAATGCAGAACTTTATAATGGAATCATTTCACTTTATACAACAGTACAGTATTTTTATTTACTATGTCACTGTATACTGTACTAAAGAAGATTATTATATTATGGAATTATACTTCATCACAACTCCCAAGTGTACTTGATATTCAGCTTGTGGGATAGCCTTATGAAATTTCTGATTTGGAAAGCAGATTATCTGGCTTATCCTGCGTATTGAGAGAACGCCTTAGAACAATCACACTTCTTCCCACCAACAATACAGCTTCACCGTCATACCTCCGTAGTATGGGTTATTAATATTGACGATAACTGTCTGTTGTCTTTGCGACATCAGTTTGACGTTTTTGATATGCTAGGTGAACTCTCAAATGAAAGTCATGTAGGTGCCTGATGCTTTTGACAAAATGGTACATATTTGTAACCACAGACTTTGAAACAATTACATGAGTATCATATATCACTGCAGACTTTGAAAGGGATGCCATCCAACAAATGATACCGACTTGCTGTAATGTACTTATCGAGCCAACCAAGATAGAACCACAATGTGACAGAAACCGAGTTATACGAGATATTCGACTATCGACCAAAGGACGGGTATACTGCTCATCAGTTCACTCCGTCCTCCTTTATGGCTGTGAGACCTGGCCATTGAGAGTGGAAGATATGAAAAGATTAGCTGTCTTTGATCATAGGTGCCTGCGTTCTATTTCCCGTGTAAAGTGGCATAATAAGGTGAGCAACATGGAGGTTAGGCGTAGAGTTCTAGGTAAACAGGGGAAATCAATCGACGAAGTTGTGAAGTTACAAAGACTGAAATGGTTAGGACATGTGTTACGTATACCTAGTCATCGCCTTCTTAGATGGGCAATGTTAGCTGATATAGGGTCAGGTTGGAAAAAACCTAGCGGAGGTCAAACCAAAACATGGCCTCACCAGTCAATGAAATTCACAACAGTTGGTCTAAGCCACGTAGGAAAGTGTAAACTTCCAGGCTGGGTTCCTCGGGACGGTAAAAATCTATTGTTGGAAACAATTGGTGACATGGCTCAAAATCGTTCTCAGTGGCGCAGATGCATCCACTCCCTGTGACTTATGATTCCCAATGAAACTGTTTTGTTCTTCGTTATTACTCTTCCTTTGTCTCACACCTCTGCTCACTGTTTCTATTATGCTTTTCTTGTACTTTCTTCTCTTACTTTGTGTACTACATGGAGTGTGGGGGCTTGAACTGCCGCACATCGGTGCAAAGTTCTATGTCGAAAACAGACAGAATGTTATGTAAATAAACAACTCACTGACTGGTTTCAACATAGGACTTTGCACCGACGCGCAGCAGTTCGAGTCGCCAAACTCCATGTAGTACGCAGAGCAAAGGAAGAGAGCAGATAGAAGTGTAAAGAAGTGACAGTAAACTATGTATCAATGAACATTGGTCAGTCATAATATGTGAAGCATGTCAGGTTATATTCGTTTTTCACACTAATGGTTTCTGTTATCATTATTACTGTTATTTCCATTTTATATGCTGCATGTTTTTGACACTACCTCTATTGTAAATGTGGAAAATTTTCTATGATTAATTTTTATTTATAATTTGAGGAAATTAGATGCAATATTAGTATTAATGCTGAAAATTCCATTCTGTATCACAAGTACTGTTTTTGGAATAAAGTAAATCATTATTATTATTATCATTATTATTATTAAATATAAATCAAGAGGACGCATACTCCTCCTGAGTTCAAAACATTTATAGTTGTTTAAAGAGAGACTGAAGTGTAATCTGTATGTATTTTGAAATACCCGTCGGCAGCTTTGATTACTTACCAACCGACTTCCGTTCAGACAAAGTAAACGATGAATCTAATCAAAAGTTGCCTAGTTTAATGCCTAAGCGGTTACCTCATATATATAGGTGTAGTAGTTAACCACAACGTTAAATGAGTCTTTGCTTCCAAGTTGTGCATTGCTCGAGTAATTTTGAAAGATGAAATATGACAGCATCTATAGTGTGATAACTAGTAATAGTAATATCTGCCTGTCCAAACCTCGATAGGAAGGCCGGGATTTAAACCCTGTGACGTAGTGATTAGTGGCTGAATGTCTAGACCAATGCTCTATACCTCCACATAGGATGTATACGAATATGTGAATTAATTAATCATGGTCCTTAAAGTGAAGTAGTGCTTTTAGGTCTTTGGCTGTTTATTATGAATGGTAATGTGTTGTCAAGATATACTTTTGCTTTTTTATAACTCATATCGTTTATTTCAAATTTTTGCCTTACTACTTTTTTATGTTGCTTTTTATCTAAATCTGAACAACTATTCTTTGACGCATAGATTTGAAATACATAATGTTGTGAAGAATATGGTCTCAGTTTAAGTGTTACTGTAGTTGATATCGACAGTTATGGAGAGAAGCTTCATGTTCTGATGAACCCGCGCAATTCGTTATTGTGAATCCTTTTTTGAGTAAACACAGACTTGTCTCCTTCATTTGTAGTATGCCTTCTGTTTTGTTATGTTTTTGTGCTATCATATTGAAATTGTTTGTTTATTTCTTTTCACTGTAGTAAATCGCGCAATGATCGCCGCACGGTTCATCCACTAAATTGGTTATCAGAAGTTGCAGAACGAGATAATAAGCTGTGAGATCTTAAGAATATTTAACATAATACTTTCGACAATCTTTTTTTGGTTCTATCATGCTTAGTATATATTTTTGTTAAATCTATGAGCCATTTGCAAAGTAAATGGTCTAATCTCATTTTCAATAGATGTATTTTATTTCCAGCATAGGGTAAAGTCTTTTTTTCAAGTGTATTCCTTTTGAGGATGAGAATTTATCGCTTGACACAAATCAAAATTTTCTCTAGCCTAAGAGATTCTTTTGATAGCTGCCTTATTATTTGTACAATGGAATTAGAGATACTTTACGAATTCACGTTTTAGATTGGAAAGGTTTCTTTATTGGTCACGGAGTCGTGATTTATGCATGCAATGACATTGATTGGACAGTTCTTGATTCACTTGTTTACCACTTGGATTCCTGGAGATTTCACATGTCATAGAACCAATCAAACTTATTTATTTATGATTTAAATTTCCGAGGTTTCGTAAATACAACATGCTGTGTTTTTGTCGAATAAACGCGGTTACGGTTGTTGCGTTTGAATATGATCTGTGTCTATCTCAGTGTGGAGGGATTTCCGTTAGTTGTCCACAGAAGTGATTGTTCTAAAAGGATTTTAGTAATTATTATTTCTGGAGCTAAGACTCAACAGACATTTAAGCGTGAAGTTGTGAAACGCATATTGCGATAGTTACTTTCATGAGAGGACACTAATCAAAAGTCATTTGTAAACTGTATGAATCAATTATACCATTTAATTCAAATAATCCAACAATTTTAGTAAACTTTATTTCTGTAAGCATCATATGCACAGTTTGATTGGTGACATGTCTGGATTGTTTTAAGGATATATAGCTGAACATATCTGCAACCGTTTCATTCATCTTCCAGGGATTTTTCATTTTCGATTATTATTACAAATGTGTCAAAAAATTCTTTTCTACATTTATCCTTAGTAATGGATCTAGTCTTCTTGGCTCCGCTGCTGTACCAATTGAGAAGCCTGTTGTTAAATCACCTCCATATCTGGTTGCAATAATAACCGTTCAACACTATCTCGTTCCTTATGCAGAAATTATTGAACAACGTATCACTAAGACTTTAAATCCATCAGGAGGTCCTCCTATCACGCATATTGTTGTCCTGTTGTCTGCTGATCATCTTCAACCATGCTTAGCAGATCTTACCAAAGACGGTGTTCCATTTGCAATTACTTGCACCATGCCTAACAAGTCTCATAATTCGTGCTCATTGCGTATTCTCTACACACCAACTCAACATGGTGGGTCAATTTAAAAATCACTTGTTCTCCGTGTATATCATTTTGAATCTATTATTATGCATATATATATAGCTTTAAATTATGACCACAATTCTACGGTCTAGACTGGTTTCTGTTGTATAGCGATGAAGAATTATCCATCATTAGAAAAGTACTTTATACCTCTGTATCTGAATTCTCTCTCTCTTTTTCTCTCTGCTATTTATTACCCAAATAGCTGCTGAATGAACATCGATAATTTATTTACTTCCTACCTTAGTTACTTTTACCCTTGAACACTGCAAAGGCAATCATAGAGTCAGTCAATACAACCAGGCGTTTGTCTGAAACCGAACAATGGTGTATGACTAGTTAAGTTGTACCTCTATGTCCTACTTGAAAAATATCTTACAGTGTTTTGCACATTATGTATCTGGTGATTTCGCTACAAGTACGTCTTTTTTATTCACATATGTCATGTTAATATTTTGCATATTTGATCGTGCGACCCAGTGAATGAAATGAATTTTAACATATCTGAAGGTTTGTTTGCAGACTTTCTACACTCCACTCAATAGTTGTGGAAAAATATCAGTGATAAGTCTAATTGATAGGTGTTGGGTTGATTCTCAATCATTGTGTTTGGTAAACGTTTTTTATCGTATTCTGGGCAGACATATTTCAGGAAGTCGGTAGTCATTCTTTCTGCTTCTGAACAATCTAATTTATAACTTTTTGTTGAGCAGAACATCGCAATATGCCTTTGGACGGTGCTATGTCATTACTTCATCGAGAATATACTGCATATATGACGAAGATTACGAGTGAGGAAAAAACTGATCCTCCAGAAGATGCCAATTTCCTGCCCCCTAGTCGACACTTAGCATCCCTTCTCCGTATGTTGGCTGATTCTCGTGTCCTAAGTATCGGAGAGTTGGACGAAATCTCTGCCTTTGTCCTAGAACGAAAGCGTCGTCTAGAAGGTCATCAAACTGGTAAGTTCTGATATTTCTGCAGCTTTTGTAGTTATTAAATCAGTAAATTAACTTGTAGTATTCAAAACAGGTCTGAGTAGGCATTCATTTTGTTCATTAATGTAGTACAATTATAATTGTGTTTTCACTCTTCTAAAGATTTCTTGGGGGAAAAAGGTTTTTCCTAGCTCTTCAAATATTTTCTTCACCAAGTTGACACATTATAATGTTCTTCAGTAATGGTTTACTGCACATTGGCTAATTCTGTTTACAGCATAATCAATGAGTTTGCCTCGATCCCATATGTGATCTGTGAAATGCTGAACAAAAAGTGATAATTTACTCAGCTTTATTTATTTTCTCCTAGAAGTCATATCGCTCATTTTTCACAGATTCAGTTTAGTTCAATGTGTCTTGTGACTTAGTCTCTATTATCTGCAGTAATATTGAATAATTTTTCAAGTGTTGGTTTGTAGGGATTTGATTGGTTTCAGGATTTCGCCGAAGACATTGGCTAGCGGTCGCTCTATGTCGTGAATTGGCAGAAGTTGGAATTCAAGGACCATTGGATCGGGTCCCAGTGGCTTAATGGTATACGAGCTCGCCTTGTAACCGGAAGGTCCTGGGTTCGAATCCCGGTGGGTGCGTACTGATGAAGAGTCCCGAACTAGGACGAAACAGCTGTCCAGTACTCCCAGGTTTTCCAGTGGTTCTCTAACTGATGTCAGCTCATGATGAAATCCTGAATAATTTTTGTTCTCATTCAAAACAATGACCTAATTAGTACTCGTGTTCTACCGGGTGTACTCACAAATAAATAAAATCGAAATTATTGTTCAACGGTTTCCCAAAAGTTGAACTGGGAAGTATTCTAGTGACTTTTGAATTATTCACTAAATTGTAGCTTCCGATGTATGAGCTTCACGGTTTCTTCATTTCATTTTCTTCAAAAAATATCTGGCTTTTAGCCTATCGTTCTGGAGCCTTGAATCAACAGCACATCTCCATTTCATCCTGTTCTATAGTCCTATATAGCTGGCTTGACTACTGCCCATAAGCTTTAATCTCCTCTAAGTCACCCTTAAACGTCCAACTCTAAAAGATCTGAACTTTCTCCTTCGGTTTCTGAGTGTTGAACTTGGATGGGGATCTATCTCCAATTTTTTTTTGTAAGCTCTCAACTAGATGTTTAGGGTCTCTAGCACTAGATAATAATCTTGAGCGCATATCTGCTCACTTCACTTTTGTGTCCAGTTGGCTGCAAGATGATAGTTATCTGGTAATTTCGGTGTATCCATTTGATGGAATCCAATGTCACCTTGTATGTATCCCATGCTTGTACATGCCGCCTCCAAGCACTAAATCATTGAGGGCGAGGAAATCTGCTAAGAGTTCTCAGTTCTTAATGATTTCGCCGAGAGTTTCTTGATCCATAATGAGTTATCTTCTTATGTTCCCTGCTTCGAATCAGGCATTTATACCACCGATTAGGAAGTTTGATGTCAACATTTGGAGTGGGTCTTGTCTATTACTGTTTGCAGTTGTCTCAAGAAATCTGCCTTCTCTTGTCTTATGCTTTTTGTAGGGACGTAGCATTGGATAATGATAACTCTTCTTTTGGAGTTTGAGATCAGTTCCTACTGCATAGAAATCTTCAATGACATTTTGATAACCGCACCTTCAGTGTGGCCATGGTTGTCATCTGCGTGACCGGGATAGATTAGTGACTCCGCTGTTATCAGTTGTGTGCTACATGGAGTGTGGCAACTGTAACTGTTGCACCAGTGTGCAAAGTTGTATGTTGAAACCAGTGACTAACTGGAAGGTCCAATTCCATTGCATGTACTCTCAAAGGTTCCTAGTACCTATGTACCATATATTCACATTTCTTTTGCAATCTGAACAGCCTTCTAAGCTTTGAAAGTCGTGTGAATATTCCATGTCCATGCTTATTTTGCTCTCATAGAAAGGTGACTGGCGATTTTCTGAAGGCTTTCAGTAGCCGGTGTCATTCCGTCCTTGCAATTCCAGCGAGGAATAAGTTCGAATTTTTCCTGTGCTTTGAAGTTGCTGTAGCGGTTGCATTTATTTTCCGGGATGGGGACGTTAACCCCACGTCCAGCCTTCCTTTTTCCGGGGTCGAGATTGGTTAGTGCACCAGTATATATACATATATATATATATATAAGGTACGGACTTTTCTTTCATCTGAGCCTATTTTTCTCGTGATGCAGTCCTTGATATCCAGTTTGATCAATAAAGCATGACTAATAAATTTTTTCTCCCAATTTTTCTCCCTGTTATCGGTCGATACTCAATATCGTTTTGCGTGAATGGAATTACTCTGTCGTCGTTATCGTTCACGCCCCCACTATCTTAACGCAACTGGTCTTCAAATAATAAAATCTAAACAAATGAATGAATGACACTTGAGTAGCTGTTGCCAGCAATGAGAATACAGCTGAGCTCAAATCAAGAATTTTAAGCATGCTCTATCCTCAGCCTGCTACGTCTACTGCACCTGCAGTCACTTCTTCCGCCGTATCAGCTAATATTACTCCTCAAACATCAACAATAACAACCACAAGTATTGGGAATAAATTGGCTGAAAATTTAAGTAATCCTGTTGTGCAGAAAGCTATAGACACGTTAATGTCATATCCCACAAATTCTGCTTCTTGTGATTCAAATCAGAAAACATCTGGTACCACAGATATACAGGGTGTACCATCAAAGAACACTCTCCGAAACAATATGAAAATGCAATCTTCAACAGCCACTGGTCCATATCCACCGAATATGAAGCAAAACAGTTGGACCTATGAAGACGGTTCTAGTTATCGTTCTGGTAGACCACTTATGCCGAATGAATTCGATCAGAGCATACCGTATGGACAGCATACAAGGCCGAATGCTGCATACATGTCACATGAGTACCCTGGTGAAGAATCAAGAAAGGGTCCCGGTTTTACTGATTCCAGAGGTCTAAGAGGTGCATATAGTTCTGAATACGAAATTCAAGGTAAAGTACCAGAATCAAATGGTGAATGTGCAGAAGAAACTTATCCTGGTTGGCCTAGACAGAGACGAAATAAACGAGGTGGTAAAGTGGCACCAGCTGATTCATATCAGTATCTTGATCCGAAAAACTATGCACATCAGAGTGTTGATCAACCAACTCAACAGCCTGCTGATCTCATGTCCACTGAAGTTTACCCACTCGGTAATGTTGCAGAGGCATATAATTATTCGCAAGCTCCCTCGTTGCTCGGTCCAGGTGTCCGTGGAAGATCTCAAAGAATGACTGGCGGCAATTCAGCCTATAACAATTACAATTATCAAGCATTTGGACCACAACAACCGAATAGTATGAATCCTTATCAGCAGCAGCAGCAACAATCTTATGGTTATACTAACCCATCTTCATTTTATTAGCATTTCTACGTTCATTTCCCATGATTACATCAGTTTTCCATAAATATTATGTCCAGGAGTACAGCTGTGCTTCTGGTCACTGTTTCTCATCTCTTGCGCAGACTGTTCTGAAAAAGAAAAAAATATAGGTGACCTTTATGAATTTGTGGTTTTTTTTCCTAATTGATAAAAGGATTCCTTGTATAAAGTGTTTGTTTTCATCATCCTGTGCTGTTGATTAAAATCATTTTCAACCTAAAAAAAATAATTTATTCGCAATAAAAATTTGTTTTGTTATATTCAAAATGTGTTCAGATGAAACATACTGTAGAAGTGAATTTCTCTTCCTATGCACTTATCATCCCGCTGCATTATAACTGACAACTGACTCAGTACAGTCATAGTTCGTCTTCAGTGTTCTGCTATGAAAAGTTGGATAGCATTATTAATATGACTTTTGTACTCATCTCGGGACCTTATTATTATTATTTACTTTTTAGGGGGTATGTTTTATTAATTGGTCTCTACTGTCTACATGGTTCAATATTACTACTACTTTCTTTATGATAGTTTACCTTTGTAATGTTTCTTTCGTTTGCTGTAAACATTTCTATTGTCATTGTTCAAAGTACTTGTGAAAGCAGAAAAAGAAATATTGTCTAACTTGAAGAAACTTAAAATGCCTTCATGGATAACTAACTCCTTCAATCTCAGGATACAGTGTTGTTTTTACTACTACGTTTGAGTGTCTCTAAACAAAAGCCCTCGAGTAAACTCTATTATCTTGAGGAAATAAGGTGTTGTAACACTTTCAAGTGAACACTGAAAGCTGTTGGTTGAGGTTGTTGCCTACTGTTAACGGCCCAGGAATAACCAAAGCTAATCATTATTTAACTAGTCTTTCTGTGGAGCAACATTTAAGCGGCTTTTCATTTGGAAGTTTCTGTTGTAGAAATGTGGGCGAAACAATTAGATTTTGAGCTGTATATCACTTGACTACCATCATATATCAGGAGTTAGCTTAAATCTTAATACACATCTAATTCTCAAATCATTCTCACCGTTTTTTCGATATATAGCAATCACTGGAATCCTTGATATGGGTTTCGTTCGAGTTAGGAGTGTGTTAGCCGGATTCTACTTGCATCTTAGTAAGTGTTCGTATTGTCTCTGAGTCTAGAACCCTAGCTCCCATCGTTTCGCATGTCAAAGTGTTGTTGACTATAGAAGGAAGCTCGTAAACCCCACCTCTTGACGTGACCACTGATCATCAGCTGTCAATCTCTCATTAATTTCACACTTCTTGAGAGTGCGACTTACAAACTTGATCGCTTGTATTACAGCCTACTACATGGAATTTATCTGTCCCGGGTAAATGAGTATTCTAACAAACTGACTTAGCTGGAATTCATGGACCATTAGATTGGATCCCAGTGGCTTCACTTGAAACTCTACGAGCTCTCGCCTTGTGATGGTAAGTTTGCGCTTCAGTGGTTGCGAACTGTATAGGAGTCCCAAACTGGGATGTAACAGCTGTCCAGTACTCCCTAACTGGTTTTCCAATGGTTCTCTAACCGAATTCAGTCCATGGTATCGATGTTCAGCCTGTTGTATTTGGGCTACCGGTATCACATTCTGAAAATTCCATACTTGTGCCAAAATGCTGTGTGGAATCCAGCTATAACCAAAAAGAAATGATGAAATCTTGAAACTGACTTAGAGTTGTTGGTTGTTAGCGAGCCATGCAGTCTCCTGATCTTCTGTACTGCTCTGTGTATAATATGGTTGACTGTTTAATTATCGCATTATTACTTGTTAAAGAGATCCTGTGGTAGACTGTACACGAGGGGCATAGCTTCTGAAATAAACTACAAGAAGATTCATTTTCGGCGATTCACCTATCTCCGGGCGTTTTGTTGGATATGATAAAATGTCTATATGGGCCAACTAATTTTCTTTTACGAGTAATCCATTCAGTTTTACATGAATTCTAATGGTGTTGCAAAATCCATTTATTTATTCTACCTCACGATAGCAGCATTCTTTCGAAAAACTCTATATTCAAATACTGTGCAACAGGTGAACACAATTTTAAAAAAATGAATTCTCTTTCTGATGACCTGTTCTTCATCTTCAGGTTTTACAGTGTGTATGTACAATTTCTAATATTACAAATTCATGATGTATATGTGCGTAAATAGATTATTGGTTATAGAAGTGAGGTGAAAACACGTGCATATATGTGATTATATGCAAAGCAAATGATCATGTCTAACACTTAATATACTAGTCGTGAGTGTTCGTCCGTGGTTAATGTTTAAATTGAGCTTCTGTTATTTGATCTGATTATAAACTGCTTATAAATGATTGATAACATTAAAAACAGTGATTGGCAACAACGTGTGAGAGGTGAACTAAGAAAAAACACGTAATAACAAGAGTAAAGCATGGGAAGGATTTAACGCAAACAGAAAGCAGGAGAAGAAGACTACACCCGGCAGGTATGGTGTAATACAGTATCTATGGATTTTTCGATACTTCGGCAAACCAGGGTAGAAACAAGGGCTGAACTTGTTTCTTGTGTACACAAAATTGTGGCTATTTTAATTGGACTGCTGACTTCTGATGTTTGGAGTATTCGACACCTGGTGGCGTTCAACAGTTATCTTATGAAAGCTAGAACTTCGAGTGAAAATAAACAAGTTCGGCTTACTATTGTTACCTTGGCAAGCTGTGAAGTGTATATCAACACATAGACGCGTCATAGGTGTCACACTTAAAAAGTGTGACTTATCCAACAATTTCAATTCTAGCAGTGAGAGAATATCTCCAAATTAAGCGTGAAATTTAATGGCTTATTGATATCTTGCTCATTTGAAGCTTCAGTCCTTAGTGTGAGTGTACAGTGTGGCGGAGTCTCTTTCGAACTCAGACAAAACAGACGTCCAGTATTCTTTAGTGCGTATTGATTCTCTAACTAAAATTAATTCGTAATGAAATTCATCCTGAATTCCCACTCTCATCATCTATCCAAAGGTATACCGAATTTCGAAACACTGTAGAAGCAGAGAAGTACAGATCTGTGGAAATATTTCTGACCTAACAAGTCTTCGATTGAAGTTTAATCCAGTAATTACTTTACTCTAAATGCTATGATTGAGCGAGTGAGATTGCAGTCGATTATGATAATGGCTTGTATGATTATCTAACCCGGTAACCTGACTGACTGTTCAAGGATTCTGCTTTTATACAAATCCTCAATGGTAATGATAGTTTTCTACAAACTCAACAATTATCCGTGATTACTTGTAGAATATACATTCCTATATAAGGAGTTTAATGAAAACTAGTTAGTGTATGGAATACGTTACCTTTTCACAATGCCTCACTACTTCCTTTTTGTCAAAGATTGCACAACCTCTTGGCGCGAAGTGAAATTTTATTCTGGGATACTCATTGTAGCTGGAATGACTGTTTTCTTTTTGGAAGGGATGCTTACACATGGGTTTCACGAATTAGCTAACTCATGTCTATCGAATTAGCACCACACTTATTTGCCAACCCACTTTGTTTTATACTAACAGTCTTGTGTCAAGCCTATTCTGTAAAGGTAGCTTTATGTTGTCGTTTGTATAAATTCATTTTGCATAAATCTTTGATTTATGTCGATGGTTCAAGTGTGGAATGTCCACCAGTCATGCATCTATTTCCTGGCTTACCCACTTTTAAACCTCGCCTAGTTTACTAGCTGATAGTCATCCAGGAGAGGAAAGAGGGTTAGGTGTGTTTATCTGGCAACCCTCACCTTGTAAAAACAATAGCATTGCTAAAAACTCAGGACCATATTTTCCACTCGGAACGCTAGGCGAAGGAGGAAGAAAGTGTCCTTTGATAATGCCTTCTCTAAATATTGTGTAACGTCCACTGTTTACAGTGGTCGCGCAAAAATAATTACGTACCGTGTGGTCCGGCGTATAAAGTATATTCGGTAAGTCAGGAGAACTAACTATCTCAAGGAAAACCTCATGGTTATCTCGTTAAATTCGAAGTCGATCTGTAGATCTCGGGACTATCTGAATTGATATCTAGAATTGGTTGAGACTCGGGATAAGTAGTTTTGTCACAATAAAACCAAAATGAATGAAACTTCTCGTAGGTTTATTGCGTAAGATGTAGTCGTGAATTTTCCAGCTATACCAATGGATAAACATTGACAGATTTCTCGTGAAACTGATAAAGATCGGCTTGGACAATGGAAAACATTTTCCACTTATTCAAATTTTAGATAAAAAATTGCGTAATATAGAAAGCGTTAATGGTTTAGGAAGTAAAATATGATTAAATATGCAAGTTCGGTGACGTAATCCAAATGACGGGGTTGAGTAGAGCTCAACTGAAGTCAAGATTGAATAAAAGTCAAGTTTACAACAGTGGTGATAAAGGGTAGGGATTTCATAAGGCTTGGGGGAATAAAATCTACAATTCAGAAGAAAAAAATTATGTATTTGGTTTTTAAGGTAGATCAGATCCACTGTAGATTTAACGACTGAACAAACTTCTTTTGTATGCAGAGTTCAGGTTTTGATCTGTGAATTGTCATTGCTTCAGCGGTTTGAAGAAGTTTAATTACTACGCTTTTATCAAGATTTCCACGTATTCTGTAGACGACTTTGAAATGTGCTACCTCGGTATCCCGTGAGAATCTTGCTAAATGAGTACTAATCAAACTTCAGAAGCAATCGAGATTCACTTGTTAAAACCTGAAGTCTGCTTACAAAAAAAGTTTGTTCAGTCATCTGCTGTGAATTTCTACATTGGATCTGACGTATCTTAGCACCAAATACGTAATTTTTGTTTCGTCTATTTCTTGCTTGTTTGCTTCTCAATTGTATAATATCTCTACAACACATTAGGAAAACGTAGTTTATCTGGAACGTGTAATGTAATGTATATGCGCAACGCATTTCGGACATTCTGATCACATACGTACTTGTCACATACAGTTATACAGAATTCTTGAATCATTGCAATACAGGTCAGGGTCACAAATATTGGGCGGGGAGATGACGCAAAGGTGTGGGTAAGAAAGAAAAAACAAAGAGGTAGGGTGGGGGGTGAAAATATCATGGAGTAAATTGAACCTTGATTCTAAATTGGATTATTGAAGCAGGTTTAAAGTAGTAGCAAATAACTTTTCGACACACAACACAGGTTTGAGTTTTTTGTTGGCCAAGGTTTCAACGAATTTGCTTAGGTGACCCAACCTTGTTTTATATATGAGCTTGAAGGCATTGTTGAAAGCAACCTCATAACCCGTCTCTATGATGTGCCCCGCTATAGTTAGTATTCGATATCTATTTCCGGAATCATCTGTATCTGGCGATTTTATTTTTTTGTTGCAGCCACTTTGGACTTTTGTTCAATCTTAGTTTTAGTTGAGCTCTACTCAGCCCCGTCAATTAGATTACGTCACCCACCTAGGTTATTTAATCTTATTCTAGTTTCTAATCTGATACACTCTTTATATTAAGTAATTTGTCATCTAAAATTCTATACTTACTGCATTCCTGATTTCAAACTTAACTTATATAACAGTAGAATTCTTCAAATGAGAAGTCAGTAAGTTCATCTCTGGTAGCATGAATGCTTTTTTGTCAGTTTCAGTTTATTACCAAATATAGTTGTCCTAATAATGATTCTATATAAAAATATTTTTATGTTTTATTCTACGCTATTCTTTATACAGTCGTGTATATTAAAGACCAACGGATCCATATGGTTATTTTTTGTTATTTTTTACGTTCCCAGTAGGACATAGGGCTCCAAACTAGAGGCTTAAAGTTTCTGTAGCGCTGGTAATTATTTTTACAGGATAGGGTTGCTAGCCTCATGTCCAACCTTCCCTCCTTACTAGTCTTATTACTGCCTTAGCGAGGTGAAAGAGTGTTTCATCGGCCTGGGATCGAACCCCGCACCATATGTTGGGTCGGCAAGCACTATACTGCTGTACCGCCGGCGCACGCATTTAGTTATACTTCTTCATTATCTTAAGGGGCCAAAAAGTCGCATTAAATCTTTGACTAATGATTTGATTAGATACGCAGGTGGTGGTTCTCCAGGTGCTTTATGCTCATAGTGCCGTAACTGAATGCCTGCTAAATTTGGGCTATCGATGTCACGTGCTGAAAATCCCACACTTGTATAAAAAATACTGTGTGGAGTAAAAGTGCAATAGAAATAAGTGCAGTGTCGGCAAACTATGCACGTGGTTCAGGGTTCGAATCCCAGGCGGGTGGGCGTGGAGCTTGCAACCCTACCCCGTAAAAAATAAAAGTCACTGCTATTGAAACTTCAAAGCTAAAGCCTGAAGCCCTATTTTCCACTCGGAACGCATAGGATTAGCAACAAAATATTTTTTACAAGGTTTACGTTGTATTTGGGTAATGTATACAAAATCAGCTAGTTCGATAGGCTATGAAAATATTTGGATAGCGGAGCGAGATTATTATTACTGTTCCCTTGCGTCCCTAGTGGAACATAGGGCTTCAACTGCACGTCTCCATTTGCTTCTGTCTTCTGCTGTACTTTTCGCCTGCATCCATGTCAGTCCATATTCTTTCAACTCCTCTTCACACGATATCCTCCATGTCACCCCTGGAGGTCTCACTCGCCGCTTCCCTTTCGGGTTCCACTCGAGGGCTTGACGCGCGATGTCACCCGGTGGCCTCCTCAGCGAGTGTCCAATCCATCTCCACTTTCTTCTGCATATTTGTTGGTTGGCGATTGGTTCTTGTTTTGTTTTTTCCCGTGGTTTCTTGTTGGTGATACTTTCCGGCCCGGCCATCTGATCTTCAGTATAGAGCCAGCGAAGACAGTTGTTGATAAATGTCTGCAACAGGCTGTTGGAAATATTCTTCGTGACCCACCTGCCAAATTTCTGATCCGTATAGGAGAACTGACTGACTTGACGTTTGTATTGAAAATCCGACTGAATTTTGTTGTTGATGCTGAGTGACGAAGATTTCCAGATTGTTTGTTTCAGGTTGATGAATGTGTTTCTCGCCTTCCCAATTCTCTCTCGATTTGACATCCTCGTCCGTTCCTACTGCCTGTAGTTGAGACAATGCTCCCTAGATAAGTGAATGAAGTAACTTCTTTCAAATCCCTCCCGTTGATGGTGATTGACGTTGGATGTTGTTGCTGTTGTTGGTTGGTTATTTTCATCACCTCCGTCTTATCTTTGTTTACCTGGATTCCTGTCTTTGCTGCTCTTCTTAGACCAGTTTGTCGGTTTTCGCTTGTAGGTCTTCGATTGTGTGTGACATCAAACATAAATCATCCACGCGCGAAATCCAGGTCTACTAGGTTCTTCACGTCGGTCCAGGATATCTCTGTCTTCTCGTTTCCCACTGTCTGACGCATAATCCAGTCAGTCCACCACAATTAGGAATATCATTGGTGATAATAAGCACCCTTGTCTGATTTCTGTGTTTACTTGGCGTCAATAGGAGCATGATTCCTCGCCAGTTCTTGCAGAGTCCTAAGTCGCTCTTCTTTGGTAGTTTCACGAGGTAACCTTTCGTCCACGCAGTAGGCACCTTTCCCTCCCTCCAGACCTGTTGCAATAATGGAGTCAGCATGTTTGCTGTAGTCTCTGGGTCCGCTTTCAGTGCTTCAGGGGGTATTCCATCTGGTCCGGCTGCTTTTCCAGCTTTAAGAAGCTTGATTGCATTCAAGACTTCAGATTTCGCTGGAGGATTGGTGTCGACTTGCAGTTGTGTACGCGCTGTTGTTGGTATTTCTGGACGGGTTGCAGGTGGTGGTCGCTTCAAGAGTCCTTTGAAGTGATCCGCCCATTGTTTAATCTGTCTTTCTTCCTTGGTAATTGGGTTCCCTTGGCTGTCTTTTATAGGTTTCACTTGTGTTGATCTCTTCCCGGATAGAGATTTGGTTATCTGATATAATGTCCTCAGGTCCCTTTTTCCTGCTGCCTTCTCAGCTTCAGTGGCATGGTTGTCGTAGAATCGTCTTTTGTCCTTCCTAGCACTCTTCCTGACTTCTTTGTCCAGTGCTGTGTAAGTTGAACTCAGCGTCTCCTTCTCTTGTCCATCTTTGCATTGAATCATTTTCTCTTTCACCATTCTCCTCTCCTCTATTAGCCTCCAAGTGTCTGTTGAGAGCCATTCCTTGTCTTGTCTCTTCTTTCTTCCTAGAACCGTTGAACACGTTTCGTTGAGAATCGCCTTCAGAGACTTCCAGTGGTCCTCCACACATGATTCTTCAGTGATGTCACGTAGTGCTTCCTGCTGTGCTCTGACAGTTGCAGTGAAAGTGTCCTTTGTGGTTGTGTCCTTCAGTTTTTGAGTGTCGAACTTACATTGTGGCCTATCCCCAGCTATCCTCGAGGCTTTTAGTTTCACCTTGAAAGTCCCTTGTACTAGATGGTAGATAGTGATCTGAACCCACATCTGCTCCTCTCCTTGACCTTGTGTCCAGTAGGCTCCGTTTCCACTTTCTTGAAATTGAGATGAAGTCTATTTGATTCTTGGTGATTCCATCTGGTGAAATCCATGTCGTCTTGTGTATATCCTTGTGTTTGAACACACTACCACCAATCACCAAATCATTGAAGGCTCAGAAGTCTGAGAAGAGTTCGCCATCGTCGTTCATTTCGCCGAGGGCCTCACGACCCATGGTGACTTCTCTTCCTCCCAGCTTCTCATTCATGTTGCCCATCAGGATTTTGATATCGCCATTTGGGACGTTGTCCATTATTGCTTGTAGTTGTCTGTAGAACGCCTGCCTCTTCTCTTGTTCTGAGACGTTTGTAGGCGCATAGCATTGAATGACTGTAACTTTCCTTCCTTTCGAGTTGAACCTGGCTGTCATTATCCTGGAGGAGGTTGGTTTCCACTGCATGAGAGCTTTGGTTGCTGTTGGTGACATCATGATGGCCACTCCCTCGGTGTGGTCGTGGTTGTCCTCTGGGTGGCCGGAATAGATTATTGTCTCTCCAGTTGGTAGTTGGCACCTTCCAGTTTCGTTCCATCTGCTTTCGCAGATTCCCAACACTTCTATTCTGTACCTTCTCATTTCAGCGGCTACCTGGGCAGCCTTTCCAGTTTCGTACATTGTACGAACATTCCACGTCCCCATCCTTATTTTTGCTTTCATCGAAAGAAGGAATATCGGCTGACTGGCTTCCCGAAGGCTTTCACCAACCTGCGTCATTTCACTTCTCCGATTCCAGCGATAAATAAGGTTATCGTTTATATTTTTAGAATTTTTAATATATTTGTGCGTTGAAGTTTCTGTAGCGATTTGGTTAAGTTTTGGGGTTGGAGTTGCTAGTATCACGCTCTAACCCTCCCTCGTTATCCTGGCTTGGGACCGGCTAGAAATCTGGCGAGCCAGTAATCTAGGCGAGGTTAGCGAAGAGAAATAGTGTTTTGTTAAGTTTGATGATTCGGAATATAGCGGAGTTGTTGAATTTATACTTTACTGTGTAGTGTCCTTTGTATTAATGCATACACTTTTCTCACGTTTAAATAGCTCCTTTTTTCCTGCAGAAATAATTTTTGTTGAACCGTCACCTCAACTATCTTTTGCTCAACAATGCTTGAAAGTTTTTTTTGTGATTTAGTTTTACTATGTGCATATTTCTTTATTTACAGAAAAAAATCTTACCAAAATCATCCACCTGAGCTACAAATCTCTTTTGTTATTATTATTCCCTTGGGTTCCCAGTGGGCTTCACCAGCACATCTCCACTATATTCTATTCTCTACCGTCCTCTTCAGCTTGATCCACCATTGCGCATAATCTATCATCTCCTCCTGGCGTGTGATATCATTCGATGATCTCTTCGACGTATGCTCGATCCATCTCGATTTCTTCTTACATGTTTTTTTGGTGATCGGCCCTCGGCTGGTTTTTCGCTAGAGTTTCGTGTTGCTTATTCTTTCTGGCCATTTTGTCTTCAGTATGGAGCCTCAGCTGTCGGCAGAAGTCAATCACTGGTTGGAAATCATTTTCGTGAAGCGCAGTGCAAGTGTCTGACCCGTATAGACGGACCGACTTGACATTTGTGTTGAAAATCCGAATCTTGTTCTTTATGCCGTTTCTCTACTATATTCGCCATATATTAATCTAATATTTAGTAATAGAAGGATGACTTAATTTAGACAACTACTCAGTAGTTTTTTAACGACAAACAGGTATCACGTAGTAACAGCGGATTCCCTATTGTCACTATTTTACAAGTTCCTTGGCCTTCTTCACACTGATATAGTGGACACTCAACTCTATCTCTTTTATGAACGAAATATTCCCATATTGTGTCATAAGAAAAAGGCACAAACAGCGAAGAAAATTTTCCCTTTTCAACGACTCATTTCAATGAGCTGTACAATCGTAATTATAATTAACACAGAAATCTTTAGACCAATCGGATACTAGTGAATTTTGTCCTTGAAAAATTGTAATACATAATGTAAGGTGTAAGAAGGAATGACTAATTGTAAGTTGATTAGCCAGAGGAGAAGAAATAGCAACAGGTCGATCGTCGAACACCGTATCATCTCCGGACATCGAGCACCTCCACATGAATGCCTCACAATGTTACACTGAGTCCCTCAATATCGTACAAAGGGACTTCGGATACGCCATCTGTACATAGCTGAAGCATTAGCTATTCGAGATCTGAAACTGGACCTCTGCGTTCAAAAGCGATACATACATTCTCTTGCCCTAACATGGCCAGAGTAAAGTTTGCTTCTTTCCTTTACTAGGTAAGTTCACCATTATTATTATTGTTACTACTAATATTACTTTATTGTGATTATTATTCCCATCTTCCATATTTTATTACCACTCTATTACTGTTTATTAATAACATTGCCTTTTCATACAGATTTTATACAAAAACACTTTATAGCCTTTCCATTAGTTCCCGTCCATTTTACACGAGCGTATTGATCATTCATTACATCACACTTATTACGTCATGCCAACTTTTGTCTCCTTTCTAACTTACAATTAGTCATCCCTCACTTACACTTTACATTATGTAATACAATTTTTCAAGGACAAAATTCACCAGTATCCGATTGGTGTAAATATTTCTTTGTTCATTATAACTACGATTGTACAGCTCATGAAAATGAATCGTCGGAAAGGGAAAATTTTCTTCGCTGTTTGTGCCTTTTTCTTATGACTATCCCTTTTCTCACCGAATAAAAATTTTCACTTTATCAAATTTTAAACGCTTCCTTTTGCGTTACACTTGAGTTTGTTAAGAAAACATGTGGAATAATATTCAAAAACAATCGTGAATGATACAGTTAAGTTAGAAGACTTTAAAAATGTAGCTACAGTTATTTGTGTGTGTGTGTGTAGTGTTATTAGAGTTTATCTAGGAAAGAGATGCCGTAATCAGTAATAAATTCAATTTACTGATGTAATCCCTTGATTTTATGCTTCTAAATATCCTGGTATTATTTTTTGTAAAATGAGAAATTGCAGTTACATTACACATATATAATTGCAGCTGTTTATTGTGTTTTATGAAAAGAAAATGTTCAACCACGAGTCACTTATTGACGGCGAATTCATTCACTTAGCTGGACAATCGCATTTATACATAATTATTGTGTGTGTGTGTGTACATTAGGATTGTCAAACAAAATGAAACAAAAATAAGTTGGGGGTTACTGTTTACGTCATCAAAATGCTTCTAAAATGCGATGAATAATCAAATTGTAACTATGGCGATGAAGGTGCGGTTAAGGGTTGAAGATTGATAAGTTTTGACAAGAGTTGCATCATATGGAAGCCACCTAGAAAAACAGGATGTTAATGAAAGAGCATGAAGACACGTGTCCAAAATGAGGGCTGATATGTATCCACATGATGTGTGTTATGTTTTTGACAGTCTGTTATATTTTGTTATGTGTATATAGATCGATATTTCATTATAACTGACACTATGCTTTTGTCTGTCCACTAACTAAATAAACATGTATGACCTTGTTGTCACATGACATTACAACCAATCATGTTAGGACTGTCTATTTATTGGTTCATGTGTATTAGTCATTTTCATATATACTTTTGTACTGTGTACTTGTTCCCACGTTTCGTACACTACGTACCATTTCACTCACACTCTTGTGTGACATTTATTTTCCTTGTCTGGAAAATACAAGTATCATCGTAACCCTGTTGGTTTTCTGCTTTCCCTCTTTCCGCGTCAGGACTATTGACCACTAAGCTAGTACATAACATAATTGGCAACGGGGATGGAATGGATTCTTCTAAATTGGAATTACCATTGGAACAAAAAATGAAGCTAATGGAAATGTTCATTGACAAACAGACTGGTTCAGTTTCACCTTCAAGCAATCCGAATCATACCATGCTACCATCTGTCGACGGAATTGTAAATAGTATTACACAATTCAGTTATGATCCACATGCTAATGTCACTTTTGACAAATGGTATCAACGACATGAGAATTTATTCACAATTGATCTCGCCTCACAAGACGATGCTTGTGCATTACGAAACAGCGAAAATCTCTCATCATCCTGTCCTGACCCACCTTCTAAGGTTCCGCGTAAATCTACACATACTCGTCCAACTTCACAAAATGCTGCAAAGAAGTACCCACCATCACCATGCTGGTGTTGTGGCGCGTGGCACTTTATAAAGTCCTGTCCATACAAAAATAATCGTTGCAACAAGTGCAAAATCATCGGTCATAAAAATGGTTTTTGTCAGCCACCTAGATATCATAATCCAGCGAAAGCTCCACCAACTGTTGGTCCTAAATCTCCAAGGAGATCATTCAGTCTACTCGCAACTTCTGAAGTCACAACACCAGGTATGCGGAAATATCTTGATTTTCAGATAAATGGTCATGATGCACGTCTGCAGCTAGATACCGCCTCTGATATTACTGTTATATCAGAGAAACTTTGGAATGATATTGGCAGACCACATATCACAAATACTTCTCAGACTGCTGTCAGCGCCTGTGGTGGGCGCCTCAAACTAATTGGTGAACTCAAATGTTCTGTTTCTTTCCGTAATGCCGAATTCACAGGAATTTGTTACGTCACCAAGATTGATTTAAATCTTTTGGGACTTGATTGGATCGATTGTTTGCATCTGGCTGATGTCCCATTAAATTCTCTATGCAATGCAGTCAAGAAACATAAAATGTCAGACAATTCCGGACAAACCTGAAGCGGAAAACCCAACAGGCAGACGAAGCTACAGACGTCAACAGCAAACTCAACGGTTCCAGATAAACCCCCAGGAAAAACATACTACCAATCATCGATCTTCTCAAAAGGGGAGGTGACATGTATCCACATGATGTGTGTTTTGTTTTTGACAGTCTGTTATATTTTGTTATGTGTATATAGAT